TTATTTATTTATTTATTTTTGTTTTTGTTTTTCAAAACAGGGTTTCTCTGTGTAGTTTTGGTGCCTGTCCTGGATCTCGCTCCATAAACCAGGCTGGCCTTGAACTCACAGATATCTGCTTGGCTCAGCCTCCCGAGTGCTGGGATTAAAGGCATGTGCCATCATCACCTGTCTCAGCCTGCTTTCTTATACAACCCAGGACCACCTGCCCAGGGATGACAGTGAGCTGGGCCCTTCTCCATCAACCATTAATCAAGAAAGTGCCTGACAGACATGCCCACAGATCAGTCTGATGGAGGCAATTTCTCAATTGAAGTTCCAGCTTCCCAGGTAACTCTCATTTGTGTCAAGTTGATCAAATCTAAGCAGTACAGTCCTGGAGAAAGTTCACAAAGTCTCTTCCCTCCACCTGAAATCGTTCTTCCCATGTCCTCTCTCTGAGCTTCATCACTAGGCCTAAGTGAACTGTCATAACCTCTGTCAAGGACCAGGACATGGAGTCTGGCAAATGCATGTTCCGAGGAAGACCAACAACCTGCATAACCTGGCTTCTGTGTACCTGAAACTGACTCTGCCACAGTGCTCTGTGGATAAAAGTGAGCATCTACCACAAAACATTCCAGATGCTACTAGACAAAGGGTGTATCTTCTAGGTCAATCCTGTGCTACTCAACAGAGGAGATGCCATTTCTGATGGAGGAAGGTAATTACAGGACCTGGAGACCTTACACATGTCTTACTCAACACTCCAGGAAACAAGGGAAATGACTCCTTTGGGCCTAGGAACTTGAAGTCCCAAATGTGGGTCAAGGACACATACTCCTAGGTGTTTTGTTCACCACTTACTGGTTTCTGCAAGCCGATGGGTTTTGGCTGGGAGGAGAGGTTGGTCTGGAGGACACTGAGGATTACCAGACACTAAGGACTTTATTAGAATAGTTATTAACAACATGAACAGACAGAGAGGTACCAGCATAGTGGAGCCTCCAGGGAGAGTCCCAGAGACAAACTGCACGCAGTGTCTCTGAAGAGTTGGAGCCCATGTGGTAAAGGATGAAGTAGCAAACTCCTTTATGGAGCGAGGTTTATAGCAAGAGCCTGCAGGCAGGCTGACTCCCAGGAGGAAGGAAGGGGGTGGGGGGGTAGAGTGTGGATGGTGCCGATACCTTAAGTCAGTACTCTTTGGTGTTAACTGGCTTCCCGGGTGAGAATATCCCAGAGGACCTGTCAGTAGCCATCAGAGGGGAGACCTGCTGTAAACTAAGTCCCAGCATCACACCCCTACAATGACCACTCATTGACTCATCGGAAGGGGTGTGTGCCAACAATTATGCCAATTAAGGGGCTAGTTTGGGACTTTCCTTTGCAGTCAGGACTGGGGCTACCAAGACACAGCTAGGAAAGAGACTGCATTGCCTCTGCACTACCCAAGGACTTAAAATACGCTGCATTATAAACTCCTAACATTAACTCTACCATCTGTACTTCATTAGAGTGAGTAGCTGGGGCCTGGTCTGTAGTCAAAGTTCCCAGGTGCCCTGTTACTGACAGTGGAGAGAAAACAGTTCCAGATGTGAAGGCCTATGTTCTTAGAGTCTTTTACAAAACTATTACTCTACAGTGGATAGGAAGGTGAAAACCAAGCAAACTCAGCTTTTACCACTGACAATTTGAGAAGTCGTGAAGAGGCAAATTGTTGAACAGATCACACAATTTGCCTCCACTCCACTTCTGTTTGGGGAGTTTTGTCTGTGTTGGTTACTAACCAGCTTCCCTTGATCTTTTAAGGGCTTTCTTATAGTTTAAAAATATTACTTAAGGATAAGAGAAATTGAGCTGTATTAGTAAAAGGCCCATTAGTGAAACTGATTACTGGAATCGGTCAGTGTCTGTATTGGATTTAAGGAATAAAGCTTGGCATATTGCTCAAATTGGGAGTTGGTTCTGCAGTATGTTATGAGCAAAAGAAACCCTGGGCTCTGGAGCTCAACTGTAGCACCAAGTGATGGCCCCTTAGATGGCATTCATGGCTTCAGCTTAAGTAAGATTTTTTCCCAAGCATCAGATGCCCTGCAACTGGAGCTGTTGAGAATTGAACCCAGGCCCTGGGGAAGAGCAGCCAGTATTCTTAACCACTGAGCCACCCCTACAATCCCTAAGTACATGGTTTGATTCTGCTCTTACTGCAGAGTGTTGGGGAAACTAAGCCTTCCTCTCTTCACCTACACAGTGAAAATTAATACTTTCCACGAAGAGTTGGTGAGGCGATTTGATCAAGTGAATTTTCACATGGGAAGCTCCCTATTAGCTCCGGGTTGAGAGCAAATTCATTATCACCATGACTGTACAAGACACTTGAGCATGCTGCTATCAAATGCAACCTCCTCCATAACTGATTCGGTAACAGGGAAAAATATTCTCCACGAAATGTGGGAATCTAAGCACAGGGAGCTAACCATTAGCCCCAGCCTTCCTGGCAAGTGGCTGTCGGTACCAGGAATGGGGTCACCATGGTCCAGTAGTTCAAATCCTTATGCTCACTGAAACCGGGGAGGCCGTCCTGGTCCTTCCGTCCATCTTCCAACCAGGAGCCCAAACCCGCAGCCAGGAGTCCAACCGCCGTAACCGCCCAGTTCCCAGCATCCCTTTATCTCCCGGGAATCCAAGAGCTTCTTCTTGGGTGCTCACTTCAGGACAACAGCTAAAGAAGACTGTCCCTCTTCAACTGCCTCCAACCGCTTCCAACCACCTTGGCTGACATCCATCCCCAGACCCCGCCCCTCACGCCGTCCGTCACTCCTACTGCCACGCCCACCCCAGGCCGACCCACCCCCTCTACTCTCCCAGTTTCCAGACCCACTTCTCTGTCGGTAGACTCCGCCCTAATCTCCATAGGCCACGCCCACTTGGCGAGCCAGGCAGGAGCAGCCAGCCTATAGGATGTAGTGAGCGGAGCCGACCTGTTGAGACAGTGTCAGCAGCTGGGCGGGTCCACTTTGCCACTCTCTTCACCATCGCTTGGGGCGGGGCTATAACGTAGAAGGATGGATGGAGGGAGGGGCCAGGCTGGTGGTGGGTGGGGCTGGCACTGTGGTGGGCGGGGCTTGCATTCCTTTGGGGAGTAAGTAGGCCTAGCGACCTGAAACGACTCCATGGTCCTTAGAGGCAAGGCAAATTTGCATATTCACCAACAATGTATGGAATTCCTATTTTTTCCATTTCATTGGCAACACCGATTTTACTTAAACTGATTTGGGGGCATTATAGGTATTGTAACTGGGCTGACATTTCATATTGCAATTTGGATTTATTTTACTTTTTCCTTATGGGTAATGATACTGATCGTTTTAAAAAAATATTTGCTGGCCATTTGCATTTATTTTGAAATGTGTCTATCCGATCATTTGTCCCCTCCCCCTTGTTTTACATTGGATTATTTGTTTTGTTGAGGATCTTACACATCATTGACCCAGTGAGTGATTGGCAAAGATTTCTTCCCATCTGTCTGCTCTGGAATGCTTTTTGGTTCCCTTGTAATCTCGTCTTCACCTTTGTTTCCTGTACATCTCAGGCCACACTTGAATCCATTGTCTATGCCTGTCCCTTGAAGTGTCTCATGTTTTGAGCCTCGCATTTAGATATTGGGTCCATGTCGATGTTTTCACAGCATTACAGATAGGGTCGAAGTTCTGTATTTCTTGTGGATAGACAGTTTCCTCAGCACTGTTTATTGAAGCGGGTTATTTTTCCCATAATGGTTTTTGGTACTTTTATCAAGAAGCAGTTGGCTGTAGATGGTTAGGTTTATTTCTGGGAACAATCTTGTTTTTACGTGAATGTCACACTGTTTGGGTGGTTACAGCTCTTAGCACTGCTCCAAATGAGGCATTATAATGACCTCAGGTTTGGTCCTTTTCTGGAGCCTGCAGGCCTGCAGAGATGGCTGCACAATGGAAACTTTTTGCTGCTCTTGCAGAGGACCTGAGTTTAATTTCTGGTACCCACATCTCAGGGCTTTTAACAACCTGCAATTCCAGCTCCCGGGGATCTGGTGCCTTCTACTGCCCAATTCAGGCACCCACAGACACAAATACACGCATCAGTAAAAAAGAAAAATATTAAAAAAAAAAAAAAACCACTTGCTTGGGCAACTCCTATGTTTCTATATGCCTTTCAGAATTATTCCCTCTAGTTCTGTGAAGGATGTCATTGGTATTTTAATGGGGGTTGCATTAAAATTACTTTGGGTAATACAGGTTTTTAAGAAAATCAATATAAATTCTTCTACATGAGGGAACTCCATGTTTGTGGAGGTTTCTGTGTATGTGTCTCCTTCAATTTCTTTCACGAGTGTTGATTTGTATTGCACAAGTCTTCAGTTAAACTTACTCCTAGACTTTTGGATTCTCCCCTCCTCCCCTCTCCACTTCTCCTTTCTTCCCTCTTCCCTCTTCATTCTTCATTCCCCATTTATCCCCCCCCCACTTTTTTTGTAGCTGAAAGACCCTAGTCCTTCAGGCTTACACCCCCAAGCCTCAGGAAAAGAGAAACTTCAAGCACCAGGAAATGAGAAACTAAAAATCTACGTCCAAGGGCAACCTGACTTAACCATTGTTCAATCTCCCCTGCAACCATACAACAATGTAAAGAGATTTCTGTTAAGAGATGTGCTCAACTGTGACTGGGATAGTTGCAGGTGTTCCAGGAAGGACCACCGTGACCTGTAGGTAAACTCCACTCCTGTCCTGATACCCCCCCTTGAGGTTTCAGGAAAAATGTACCTCTTGACGTAACTGTACCCCCTCCGTGATCACTCTGTGATCAGACCATGATCTTGTGAAACAAAATTGTATGGGAATTGTAATCTTGTGGGTTTTTTCATTTAAAAGCCCTCATGGGGCTGCAGTAAGATGCGGCTCTTGCTCTTAGGAGCAGAGTTTGCCCTTCTATATAGAAGCTTAATAAAAACCTCATGCTGTTGCATCAACTGGACTGGAGTCTGGGTTCTTGGGGCGCCCACTTGAGACCCTAAATTTTGGGGTCCAACAGTAGCTACTGTGAATTGTATTATTTTCACAATTTCTCTCTCATAACTCGTTACTGTAATGAAAAATGCTACTGATATTGACGTGTTAGTTTTATAACCTGCAACATCACCGAATCATCATCACTTTTAATAATCTTTTGGTAGAATCTTTATGCCTTTCTCTTACCTAATTGCTTGGTGAAAACTTCCACCAGTTTTGTATTGATTATGAATAGTGAGCATACGCGTGGGCTGGACAATAGAGCCAGCCTCATTGGCAGAGGTGTGGGTAGGTCAACCTGAAATTGTGAGCATGAGAGAGCTGTCCCTATTACCCATCTGTCATGTGGTGGCATGGGTTGGGGAGAGATGTCCCACCCCATCAATCCCTGAGGCAGGTGGAGGAGGTGCCTCTGAGGCCTTAAGAGTGGGAAAGCTGGCCTTGCCCCTCATCAGCTGCAGCACTCAGGAGCATGGTTGGTCCCTACGCAAGCCTGGGCAACACAGTAGAGCTGGCCCTGAGGTGTAGGTGTGGGAGAGCTGAGAGACAAGAAAGCAGGAGGGCTGGCCCCGCCCCTTGCTGAGGTGAACCCCCCCCCCCTGCAATGGGTGAACTCCCCCTGGGTGATGCAGGAGAGCTGTTGGTGAGGACGAGGGAGAAAGCTGGCAGGCTGCTCCACCCTACAACTACCCAAGCCCAGAACCAGGGTTATGTGTTGACCTACCCCAATATCCACCCCATCTGTGATCTGCTGGAGCACATGAAGGGACCAGTTCTGCAGACCCAAAGCTGCAGGATCACCACGACACAAGGTAACAACAGGATAACCAAGAGGAGGTCCACTGAGGGTCCAACATCAATAGTGTAGCAGAAACCAGAGGCCTCAAACCAGACCAAAGACTCTTTGACATGAACACTTTCAAGCAAAGATGTATGAATAAGAGGATTTACCTTGTGACTCAATGTGTCACACTACAGCTTCCGTGGAGGGCCCCAAAACAGCTTGACCACACAGCAGCCATGACAAGCTTAGGGGCCCAGACACAGCTTCTGTGACAGGCTTACTGGCAGGCAACACCCAGATCCAGGAAAAGCCTCAAACTGATACCACCCAGGGATCCACCCAGGGATGAGGAAGTACCAGACATCCCAAACATTCTAACCATTAGACAAGGTAGCCAGATGTCTCTGAGTCTAGCACACACCTACTTTTGTTTTACAGATACCCGTAGACAATTGTCAGCCAATCAGGGTTCTGGACCCTGGAAATCCCCTCACCCCAACCTCTGCTATGATAAAAACTCTGCCCCACCTGAGCTCAGGGCTCTCTGCTCTCACCACTGTGTCGGACAGACAGAGGGACCGAGCTCCAGAGCTTGAAATAAAGGCTCTTTGCTTCTACATGCAGGATCTGGTCTCCATGGTGGTCTTTTGGGGATTACCGTGATCTGGGCATAACACTTCTATGATGAGACTGATTTTTCCCCTTCTCTCTCTTTTCTTTTTTTCTCTTAAATTTTATTTTATTTGGGGGGGGGTTGCAAGGGCAGAGGGTAGATATGAAGGGATGGGGAAATGAATGGGATGGAGCTGCATGATGCAAAAGACACAAAGAATAAATAAAAAGAAGGGAAAAAAGAATAGAGATAGTAGACACAGTTGTTTCTTCCAAATCAAAGGAATGATTTCAGCTTTTCAATACTTAGCACGATGTTGCCTGTGGGTTTGCAATATTTATTTTTATTATGTTTAAATATGATCCTTGAATTCTTAGAAGTTTGGTTTTGACCAGCAATAATGATAGACACCTTTAATCATAGTATTTGTGAGGCAGAGGCAGGATGATTTCTGAATTGGATCCCAGCTTGCTCTATATAGTAAGTTTCAGGACAGCTAGGGCCATAATAGCAGACCCTGCCTAAAAAGTAAAAAATAAATAACATAAATGCCTTCCATTTCATGCTTTCTTCTATTTTCCATTTCTCTGTTAAAATTTCTATCACTTCATTCACATAAAGCACACAAATCTTTCCTCATCCTCATCATGCTCAGGTAAAATAATAGCTACTTTAATGTCCTTGAGTTGGGCATGGTGGCATTCTGGAGGCAAGCTCAGAGAATCAGAAGTGAGAAACTGACCTCTGTTTTGAAGTGTGCTCAAGGCCAGACTGGGCTACATAAAGGTGTGTCCAAAAGATAAATAAATAAAAGCCTTGTCTGATAATTTCCCTCTTGAGATTAGCATTTATTAATTTCCTTGAAAAATTGGTCTCATTTCCCTGGTTGCTTGTGTTGAGAGGTATTAAATTGTATCTCATCCCTTGTAATACCACATGTCTTAGACTCTGGGTCCTGTTGGAAGCCTTTGGACAATGTTTTCTGTTTGGGTAAGAAACCAACTAGACTATGCTCAGGTTCTAATTTCTACCTGGTGAATATATTGTATGAAACTTATAAGAAAAGAGAAAAGAAATGAAATTATCCATATCTTGCTCTTATCTAATACAGACTGGTGATGTTTTGTTTTTTATGCTCAAAATGGAAGCTAGGAAGTATTCAGCGGAATATCCCATGCCCACAAAGTTCCATTTGAAAAACCTGAAAAAGGAGGCCATGAATTCAACGGACATTTTGGACTATTTAATAGAGGTATCTGTTGTACATGTGGCTTTAGTTCAACATAAATACAGCGTTTTTCTCTGGAAACATAACCTGAGTTGGAAATGAAATCGGAATGGAAGACACTTGAGTTCACAAACTTGTTTCTCCTCAACGTATTAACAGTGACTCCAAAGAGGCTTCCGGCAGCAGTTCAGGACTCAGGCCCAGGGCAGGAATGGGGGAAGACTCCCCGAAGGTCAAAGGCTCTGCTTAAGTCCAAGGTTTGCACCTGTGGGCCTCTGCTCAGCTTGAGGTTCCTCATACAACCCCGGAAGGAGGTCCGGCTGCTCAGGCAATTTTGCTTGATGTGGGCTGTTGAGGAAACAAGAGACAAGCCTTGATTAATCTTGTTGAGATAGGTAAGTTGTCCATTAGGGACAAAAGTTATTTCAAGTGGACCTTCTATCAAATCAGAATATTCCCCACATACAGAGCTTTAGTGGATAGCAGAATTCCTTAACTTTTAACACATAGCAACTTGAAGGCATAGCTGTAACTTGAAAAGTCACGCACCGGGTGTTCAGGATTTGCAGTCATTTCTGGGGACATCTTCAATGCCCAATTCAAATGCAAAATTGGTGCAGGAGGATGAAGCTTGTCTATCCCTGTGACTTAGACCCCCCAACTTTGGGAGTCATGTAGGGCAAAGGTAGGATCTTTTTGCTTATCTGCCACTAATGTTCTCAATGAGAAACATGTATGTGAGGGTTATGCTAAATTCCCCAAGAACGTTTAGGTATAGTATTTTGAACAGCTTTTCTAAAATGGTAAGACTTGCCATTGAACTGTGTATCTCTCCATCGCTAACCTGTATTCCCCTGAGCTCATACCTCCCCCGGGGATTGGGCCCCCTGTGTAGGTAAACAGAACTGGGAGTCATACGTACCAGGATAGCCACCCACATAAATGGGATCATTAGTGTCTGCTGAGGTGGAATGGGTGTGAGGGCTCTCGGCCCTAACCGTATTCCCATCCACCGTTAGGACGATGCGGTGTTTGCTTTTCTGGGCTTGGAGCGTGTGCCATTTCCCGTCACAGAGAGCTGTGGAGGCTCTGGGCTCATAGGTGGCTGTAATCCTGCCGGCCCCATTGTTGACGTGAAACAAGACCTGAACAACGCAAACACTTGGGTGAGTTTATCCATGTTTCGGACCACCGTCTTTCTCACTGCATCTTAGCCAGAAGGCCAAGAAGCCACGGAGCACAGAGCATTCACGAATTGTTCTCCGAGTGGAGCACTGACCATGAGAAACAACAGTGGTGGACAACAGCCTCCTCAAGAACTTGGGCTCTAGCCCAGCCCGCACAATTCTGAAATCAGTGCTCCCTTTTCAGAGCATTGCAGACACTATTGGGAGTTTGTAGTTCTGGGAGGCTGAGCATTGGCGGCACTTACACACGACCACTCACTAACTTCCTTCTCACAAACCACAGATGTGCTGCAACCGTGAGTGGCAAACAAAATGCCAAGGCACACAGCAAAGGGCAGAGAGGGGGCTCTGGACTGAATGGTGCCACTCCAAAAGTCACGTGCTGGAGTTCTATCACCGCTAGCACGCCTCGGGATAGGATGATGTTTGGATATGGGGACCTTAATGAGGTCACTGAGGTGGACCTTAATCCAATCTGTGTCCTTAAAAGGGGGCATCAGGACACAGACACACGGAGAAAAGATAATGTGAAGAGAAGACAGTCATGCACAAGCCAGGGAGAGGGCTCTCAGAAGGAGCCAACCCTCCCAAGCCTTAGACTTCCAGCCTCCAGAGCTAGGAGAGTCGGTCTCTGTGTTTAAGCCTCCTGTCTCCATTACTTGGTTCTAGCAGCTCAGGATGGATGACGGAGGGAGGAGAGAAGAATTTCAAGCAGATTGCTGTTGTGGAAATTACTTTAGCTGGGCAAAGAGGTGTTATATTTGTTTATGCTGAGGACTGTTACTTTAACTATGTAAAGATGTGTTACATTTGTTTATGCTGCGGAATATTACTTTGACTGTGTAAAGATGTGTTACATTTGTTTCTGCTGCATTTGTTTAATGATGTAAGGATGTGTGTTTAATCATGTAAAGATGTGCTGCATTTGTTTCATCTTGCCTGCCTAAGGCACCTGATTGGTCTAATAAAAAGCTGTCCATGAAATAGCTGGGCAGAGAAAGGACAGGCAGGGCTGGCAGGCAGAGAGAATAAACAGGAGGTGGAATCTAGGCTCGGGAGAAGAACAGGAGAGAATGAGAGAGAGAAGAGAAAGGGGAGAAAGAGGGGGCCACTCCTGGGGCAAGAAGGCAGGCAGCCGCCAGCCAGACACAGAAGCAGTGAGAGTAAGGGAGGCAGAGCCAGGCGGATCTGTGAGTTCAAGGCCAGCCTGGGCTACAGAGCGAGATCCAGGAAAGGCGCAAAGCTACACAGAGAAACCCTGTCTTGAAAAACCTTAAGAAAGAAAGAAAGAAAGAAAGAAAGAAAGAAAGAAAGAAAGAAAGAAAGAAAGAAAGAAAGAAAGAAAGAAAGAAAGAAAGAAAGCTATCTAGAAGGAAAGAAAAGTAAAAAGCCCGAGTCAAAAGGCAGATAAAGAGAAACAAGCTAACTTAAGTTAAAAGAGCTAGCCAGAAATAAGCCTAAGCTAGGCTGAACATTCATAACTAATAAGTCGTCTCTGTGCCATGATTTGGGAGCTGGTTGGTGGCCCAAAAGAGAAAAAGCCTGGTACATATTGTTCTAAGTTTCTCACGCTACCTACTGTAAAAAGTGAGGACATGACTGCTCCAAGGTCTGGCTGAGGGGAGGTTTTATTGTAGATATGAGGGAGAGTGCAACCTGAGGCATCTGGAAGAGTCCAGAGCAGGGAGAGAAAGCAGTAGACTAAACATGGCCAGTAGACTGAACCAGGCCATGAGAGAGCAGAGTGGGTGTAGAGTGAGAGGGGGAGGGGAGAGAGGGCAAAGAGGGAAAAAAGGGCAGTGGGGGGGGGGTCAAGAGAACCAGAAGGAGCAGGGAAGCCCATTGCCAAAGCGGCAGGTCATGTAGGAATCAGAGCCTAGGAAGAGAAGTCCATGAGCTGGAGGAGTTTGGGAGGTTTGAGTTGGAGGCAGGATAAGAAGAACTGGGAAGAGCCACAGGTACTGAGGCCCTGGAGGCCAGCACGTACCTCGGTATGCTAAGAGGCACCACAGTTAGCCATTTGTCCCAAGTTTCTTGTGCACCTGCCACCTAAGAGACCCACTATTTCAGAACAGACTGTGACAAATTAAAGATGTGTGTTGCAGACCTTTGGACAACGCACTAAATAAACTTGAAAGAGAGCAAGAAGTAATAGATAGAACACAACAGAAAAGTAAAATACAGAACACAATACAAAAGCACATTTTTATAGCTATTACACTTCTGATACCTTTTTTTTTTTTAAAGAGATCACATAAAAACTTGCAAATAGGTGTTAGGTTTTTCAAAGATTTTAAAGTATAAGATGAGAAAGTTGGTCCTATTAAAGCAGCAGTCTGTCATGCAGATTTTTTTTTTTTCAATTGAAGTGGGGGCAAAAAGAAACTTTGCTAGTCTCTCTGACCCCACTGTAGGAAATCCTAAGGGCCAAGAACCTGGAAAAGAAATCCTAAAAACAAGCAAGAAAGTTCATGGGAACCCACAGGGGCCTTCTGTTCAGCTGGTCTTCTCTGTGTGTCCTGATGCCTACTACTCACATGGACACAGTCAGATTGGCTCAGAGCCCACGTCAGTGACCTCGTTTTAACTGAATTACCCTTTTATTTGCATTTATTTATTGTGTGTATATGTGCGCCCACACGTGAGCACGCAGAGATCCGAGAACAATTTGCTAGAATTGGTTCTTTCCTTCTATCTATCCTGTGGGTCCTGGGGACTGAACTGAGGTTGTTAGGGTTGGCATCAGGCATTTATGCCCAGGAAGCCATCTTGCTGGCTCCTAATGACTTCTTGGAAGTCTAAATAAGATCACATCCTGAGAGACGCTGGTAGTTAGGTGTTTGGCATGTGAATTTGAGTGGCGCCATGTTCCTCGCCTTCTGGAAGGAGCATTGCAGCGTCTTACTCCAGCAGTAGACATGGTGGCAGAGCACATTAGGAGAGGGCAGGCCAAGCCTCCAGTATCCATGGTTTCCGTGGCTTAGGCGGGGGTGGGGGGGATGACATACATGCCCAGTTCTCTCATATGCCAGGCAGTGGGATGGATGGTAGCTCCAGCCGGAGAGGAAACACTGGCAAAGACACCTGGGAAGACTAGTTCCCAAGGGTTGAAGTATACCTAGCCTGGGAGGAGTCACCACCCAGTGGCAATGCTGAGACACCCCCACCCCCACCCCACCCCCGCCCAGGCCACTTGTGCCCAAAGCCAAAGGAATGGAGGCCACCTGAGGACCAAGTGCAGGAACCCCAACTGAACTGCAGCCACGTGTGAGAAAACCCACAGGAAAAGGGGGGGACCCCAGACTCCCCTCCGTGTGCCCACATGGCCCCGAAGGGGAGAAAAGGGAGGTGAGCACCAGGAACAAGTGTGGAGGAGAGATTTACATAAGGGAAGAGAAGAAAGTTGGAATTCACCAGAGGCTGAGCTGCAAGAGCACCAAAGCTTTAGGAAAAATTACATTTTTAAAATAAAAAGCCAATGTACAATATACTCAACCTGTGAGGTAACACTGTAATAAGAAATAACTGTTGCTATGTACAACCCGACTGAACCTTCAGGGAACCAGGACATCTACTGCATGAACTCAGTATGTAACATTTGTAAAATAGCAGTTGAGAGATGGAGACAGAGCCATGACTGAAGAGGGTGAGGGGACAAGGTCTGGGGGCCGTGCCATGGGAGGAGTCTAGTGGTATTGTCATAGTTGCCGTGGATCTTGATGGTGGCCATGGTTTCATTTGCATATCACAAGCTACGTACACAAGCAGGTGCACATACGTTCCATCCTCGGATGTTCTGTGGGTTGTGAGGATGTCCTGTAGGGATTCACTGTGGGCCTGTACTGAACATCACCATGGGAAGCCTGGGGTTGGGTGCACAGGGATATGTGTGTTCATTTCAGAACTGCAATTCTGTATGGCGACTCTGCTCATTTGCAAGTGACTAGTTTAAAAGTTATTAGAAGAGACTGGGCATTATGTGGACATATTACTCCTGGTAAGGTTCAGGCAGAAATGCCAAGGCTTTTCAGCAATCTTAATTCAAATATGTGAAAAAAAAGTTACTCTGAAAATAGCTTTTTAGGACGATCTGATTTTAAACCAGTAATGGAAATTTCTTCCCTCTCCATTAATGAAGTAGATAATGAGCAACTTGGATCTAAGCATTTCTACCATTTCTCTCCTGTTCCGCCTCTGATGGGGTGGGCAGGGCATGGAGATGGGGCACCTACCTTGCCGTCTACAATCTCTAGGCCAATGGCATCCACTTTGGGACTGCTGATCCCCAGGAGGACGCCATTCTTAGAGGAGGTACGGAATTCCAGTGTGATGTTTAAATCCAGTCGAACTCTGTAGCCTTCCTTGACTGAAAAACATGGACAGCGCTGTCATTGTGAGAACCCATAAGACGGGCTGGGCTGCATTGGGCTGCATTCACAGTATTGGCCAAGAGCAAGATCTGGCTACACCCTGACCCCATCCTCCAGGCCTCAACTCTCATAGTCCTTTGTAAGAAGAAACATTGATTTTTTTTTCTTTTTGTTTGTTTGTTTGACGATGGAGTCTTGCTGTGTAATCAGGCTGGCACCACATACGGTCCTACCTCTGCCTCCCCAGGGCTGAGATTACAGTGTGCCCAACCAAGCCCAAGTAGGAACTCTGCCTTTTAAGAAGTTGTTCAGTCAGATCAGACCAGACCAGGGCATGGGCAGGTACTTCCTTGGGGACATCTGGTCCCGTGGGCCCTGGATGCCTACAGTGTGGCGGTCTTACCCTGTGTTGTAGACTTATCCCCCTAATCTTTAGATTCTAAATGTGTATGTACCTTGGATAGCATCATTTACTGTTTGTATCAGCCTCTACGTTAGGTGTTTTCAAAATGGGGATTGAATGATTTTATTTTTTAATTCAAGTGACAAAAAAAAAGCTAGATATTGGCAATAGAAGGCATTTGTCACCATGCCCAGGGCTGAATGAAAAATAGAGAGGGTAATGCTATCATATCCTAGAGACAATAAGTGTCTTACTTGCATGCATTGGAATTACAGATGCATAAACTTGCTTTTTTTGCTCTTGTTTTTCAAGACAGGGTTTCTCTGTGTGTAGACATGGCTGTCCTGGAACTAACTCCATAGACCAGGTTGGCCTCAAACTCACAGAGATCCAGCTACCTCTGCCTCCTGAGGGCTGGGATTAAAGGTGTGCTCCACAACCACCCAGCTGACACACCTGATGTTTAATTCAAAGGTAAGGTCTTTATCGTTCCCTACATAAACTCAGGGAGTGTGCAGATGAAGCCAGGAGTTTGTGACTGTCCGTTCTGGAGGGAGAAGGCCTCTGTAGGCCATTTGCAGGGTGCAATACTGGTGCAGGCTTTTGCATGAACAGGAAAAGCACTAGAAACGGACCAGAACACGGAAGGACAGAAAAGCAGCCTTAGGCATGCTATTCTCTCAATTTCCCCTGGATCCACATCAGCTCCGTGGACACGCTAAACCCGGGGCGCTCCTTCCAGACTGCTAAGAGCACGTACCAAGAGCTGCATATCCACTTCCTTCAAAGAGAGTTCCTTCCTGGGCCACTGCGTAGCACCTGCCCACTGCCAAGGCAGACACAGGGCTGTCTTTATCCAGAGGCTTGTTGTTGACTGTCACCTCCCCAATGCAGGCAGGGATGCTGTGGGTTGTCTAAACCAAGAGAGACAGGAGAGTAGGTGGAGAGGATGACATGGAGCATCTTTTTCCTGTGCTTCGTTAAACCTCTCTCCATCACACACATTACAACACCATCGGGGTTTTTTTTAAAAAGCTTAATTGTGGCAATTCTTCACATGAATGTTTCATGTTGCTCTCTTTCTCCAGTACTTTGGTAATAATGGGGTAGAAGTGTTTTCTATCATTTTCCTAAAATACCCCTTAAATCCAGAGTGCTTCTCTCACTAATTCTGTACTGTAAAAATTTGCTGGACTTTTCCTGAGTTGCTTCGGGACTGTGTGTTTTCAAAAAAGGCAAAGTCCATTAGCTGTGAGGCAGGAAAAGCTGGACATCTATAAGGGGAGCCCCAGCACATAACTTATGCATATGCTTTGAAAGGACTGCACCTTCTAATGGGAGCCCCAGCCCGTGACCTGTGCACATGCTTTGAAAGGTCTGCACCTTCTAAGGAGAGCCCCAGCACATGACCTGTGCACCTGCTTTGAAAGGTCTGCACCTTCTGGTGAGCCTCAGATTCAGGCAGAATAACTTAAACAAACACACTGGAGAATGATGGTCTCATCCAAAAACACAACCACAGCAAGATGACATGGGTCCCACACAGAGACCGCTGCTTACATTCCCGATGTTCCTGGCCTTGTAGTGGACAGGAAGACCTCCCAGGTACAGCTTCCCTTCCACGTCCAGTGTTGTTGCGTTTCCCACCACAGTCGCCGTGGGGGACTCTTGACCGTCGACACTCATGACGCCCTTTCTTTTAACGTACTCCGTCTTGACCTACGCAAGATGAAAACATCCAGACCTTGTAAACCACTTGAGAAAAACTTTAACAGATGGGTGCTTACGACATGTGTTCCTCAGATCTGTAAGAGCCCAGACTAAACCCTGGCGTGGGCTCTGCCTGTGGCACAGCTGGTGTGAGAATATGGCTAAGGCTCGTGGAAAACGGGGAAGAATATAGCAGAGCTCCAGAGCCCTGGTTATCAGCAGATGCCACGTTGAGCAGCTCGGTCCTTTCACACCCCAAGTGGGCTTTCCTGGCTTCCTGCCAAGTCAGGAACATTTTCGAGACCTTCAATTCATTTGGTAACCAGCTGTTGAGTGTTTATTGGAGGGATTCGGGAAGCAGAAAAGGGCCCTCCTGACAAGATGCCTACATCATTTGGGGGAGATGTCAAACATAAGGCCAACGAGGGGTCAAAATGCACGGCTTCCCTTCAAGAAAATGGAATGTGCACGAGGTGGAGGGAGAACTTTTGGGACAGGAGACAGGGCCTCCCAAGCACTTACTGTGTGCCACTTGCCATCACTGAGCAGCGTGGGGTGAGAGACCTTGGTCCGGCTCTTGCCAAGGTCAAACATGAAGTGGAGGCGGCCCTCTTGGAGCTGGAGGACAGCATAGTCCATTTGGTTCTGATGAGCCACGTAGTAAATGAGGCCACTGGAGGCGAATGTCCGGATGTTCAGCTGAACCTGGAGCCTGAGAGAGAACAGGAAGTCAGCGCCAGGGACCAGGACGGTTGGCTTTCTGTTTTTAAATGCAACCTCTGAGAGAGTTCCCCAACTGCTGCCGTAGCATGCACACTCGGCTTCTCAAGAGAGGGCTGTTCACTCACTTGTGCACCCCATTCATGGCACAGAGGGCCACTGTCTGATGGAAGCAGTTCTATGACAGTCAACAAGGAGGAGTCCCTCACCCCTTGACACCAACGCTAGGACCATGTCACAGTTGTGCCGCAGCACAGAGAGGCTCATGGGCGGCCGCATTAAGTCCTTAGGGTGGACAACTCTAGAAAGATGACATTTCAGCTAAGCTCCGAATGACAAAAATGAGCAAGACTTCCATGCAGGTCAGCAGGAAACTCTTCATTTGTTTTAGGACAATGCCAACTATGTTACCATGAGGGGCCCGATTAGAGCTAACAGATGAGATCCTTGCCTGGGTCAGCATGGGCATGGAACCCATCTGGTATGAGCACACTTGCATGTTTCAGAAGACAACACCACACATTCCTCACCATCTGGCAATAAAAACTGCAGGGGAACCATGGGAAAATGCTTACCTCTTTCGGACATCGGACTGATTAAAAGGCAACACCAAGTGGCTGTTTTGCGAGAGGCCAAACTGGTGAGCGCCTGGAACATGCCCTGGAGCCGTGTCCACCGCACACAGTTCCTGTAAGAGGTGCATAAGGGCCCTCAGCCAATGTAGCAGGACTGACACAGATATGTTCTTCCATAAAGGAAATGTCACAGAAGCCACTGGATCAGAAACAGCAGCTGCTGCCACTGGAGGATGTGTAGATGCCTAGCTTTGTTTTCTGTGCAGATCAAGCTCAGACCCTTCTCTCTCCTTCATGTCAAATCGCATTCCAGAGCAACTGACTCAGAACAAGGGTTTTTTTCATACCAGGTGAGGAGGATTGAGACAGAATTCCGAGCTCCAAGCAGAGTCGTGTGGGCAGAGAAGAAAAAACAAGGCAGTTTTTGCAGATGGTAGGTGGATTGGGTCAGGTCAGGAGGGTAGGAAAGGACGGAACAAGCATGGATGGAGGAACTGAGGATGAAGATGAGATCGATAGCGGAAGAGCTTAGTTAGGGCTGTGAGGGGACAGGAGAAGAAGGGACAGAGAGGAGCTGAGTGTGAGAATAGAACTGAAGCTGTGTAGACAGAATTTTGTCTTAGAGAAATAAAGTAGATGGACAAAAGAAACTGGTGTACTTCGATAATCTTCCCACACATTACCCCCGCCATTAGTAGCGTCTCTTCTGGGCTCCTGGGAAGGAGACTATTAGGGCTGGACCTTAATCATTTTCAAGACCATAAACAAATGGCTCTTGGATATTCTGCCACTGGAGGTACAGCTGGAGAACTGGAGGGCACAGCCGGGGTACTTCCCCTCCCTCCCAGCTTCAGTGGCCTCCCTGGGACTCAGTTTCCCTTCCTCTCGACTCCCCGTGCCCCTCTCAAGCTGTCCTGAGGCCACTGAAGGAAGTCGTGCTTACAGGCTGTTGCAGAGTTGGGGGCTCTGGAGGGAGTTCCCCGTGTCCCCCATGAAGGTCCTGCAGGGGTTCTTCTGCCAGCAAGCAAGTGTCCAGCTCTACGAGTTCAGAGCCTACGGAGTGGGTGAAGTCCAAAATTCTACAGACAAACAAGACGGCATTTAAATAAAAACACCAGGAACCAGCCTGGGAGCCCAATCATTGGATTACTATGTAATTAAGACCCATTTTAAACCATTGATCTGTTTCTCTTAGAGTAACCACACTGGCCATCCTCCACAGTACCCAATGTTTGGTTCCAATTAAAATAAAACTCTACCTCTAAACCAGGGCCATGCTGGTAACCTGGACATCCCTGAACACAGGATGGACTCAGGGTTGTCACCTCCTGTAGGCTAGGCTCTCAGGCCAACGAGTCTCTGGCCCCCACACCACTGCACAGCAGCTCCCATTTAACACTGGTTCCTTGTTCGGAACCGCGCTTGCCACAGGTCTCTCTACTCAGAAGCTCTCCTTGGTGTCCTGCACCAGCCTGGATCCCACTGGCACCTCCCGAAGCTGTACCTGTCTATGGAAGCCAGAGCATCGCTGCTTTCAGGAGCATCCCTTCATCAATGAAGGGATGGCTGAGCAACTGGTGAATGTGGGTACAACTACAGATAGCTGCGTAGGGCTCTGCTGTTGCATGGAGCCTGCACTACAGGCCTTATTCTTTCTGGGTTCAGGGATTTCTGTGGAAAACCCCTGCCCTTGCTCAAAGTTACCTACAGGCCAGTAGCCTAGCAAGGATGGGCCCAGTGTCCTCTGCTGCTGAGCCCATTGTGATTTCCCGGAGGCAGATTCTGGCCTGTAGGTTCAGGCACAGCTTTTCCCACCATCTCAATTTGACTAGAACTCAGGAGAGGAGACATGAACAGCCACTTGTACAGATGGAAATTCTCTTCCTCAAGGAGAATGGAGACTTGCGATATTTAATTCTATAGCAACTGTTTTTCAGAAGCCATTAATAAAATATAGCGGTTAGTAATCCAGCTGGGTTCTTGTAAAAGGACACTTGGGGGTGGGATATAGCTTAGTGGTAGAGTAAACTACCCAGCATGCATTAAAGCTCAGTTCAGTGCTCCATACCACACACACACAGGAGGCCAATGATAGTCTTTTTTTCTTAGTAAAATTTCATGGCCAGATGAGTCTACCACATTCACTCTTTCATTGGAAAAGACTGTCATCATAGACCAAGAAATTCACTTGCTACAGAAGAGCTTGCAGAACTCAGGGCATCTCTAATAGCAAACTCAGAAGGCAAATGAGAAATTACAAGAAATATGATGAGAGCCAGTTACACTCACTCAGTGTCGAAGACCAGGTTTTTGATACAGCCATGGAATGAAGTCCTCATCCTGAGCATTGGTGTCCTCTTGTCCGCGGGAAGGCCCCCTACGTACAGGTTGGCTATCTCGATTGTCCTTCCTTCTGCTGAGGGACCCAACTTCATTTCTACGGGACTGCCCTCATCCAGCTGTATGGTGATAACTCTACCAGATCAAAAGGGAAAAACAAACTTCTTAAGCACAATGAATAGCTCCATTTTCATATGTAATTCTAGCAAGCTCTCTTGGAATAATAGCTTTCCCTAGAGATAAATGTTGGCATGACATTGTATGTGAAGACCACAAATGAAACCTACAGCTCAACATAAAAGAATAAAATCTATGAATACGTCACTGAATTTGATTAATGATTAGAGGTAAACGTGTGTATCCAAACAGCTCTTTCCCTATTGTGAAAACATCCAGCATGCGTCAAGCACAAGGTCTCCAGTTGAAGAGGGAAATACACGGTGATGCTGATATGGTAGCTTTTACTGTAGGCACAATACTTCCCACCCAAATCAGCCTACTATTCACCATTAACTTGATCCAGTTTGTAAACAGTTTATATTGGGCTTTAGCAAAGGACAAAGTTAAGAGGCTCAATTAGGAAAACTTCATAAACACAGTACTACAAAGTAGAAGGAAGCTGACTCTATGGTAGAATTCTAGCCAAGTCCTAGAATTATTTGGAAACAGTAAGAACTGTGATTGCTAATGACATCGTGGGAACCATCCCCATCATTGAATCACATTGAGTATCCGACAAGGTTCCTACTAAGAACGCTTTCTCAAGCTCATCTCAGTCTCCTGACACAAAGATCTGAGAGCTAAGATACCTCCGGTTCCTAACCAGGGAGAAGGAATGCTCTTGTCCGTCACTGTAGGAGCCAGTGGGGGCGTGCAGTAGGGCCTTCCTCAGACTGGTCCCATCCCCGGGATTGACATGCACTTCAACGCGGCCTTCAATCAGCATGATGGCAAAGAAGGGCTAGAGAGGATGCATTTTCCAAAACAAAATCCATTACCAAAGGATTTGCAACATTTTCACCTTCTACAGATAACGGAGGCATGTTAACACAAGGCAAGCAAGTGCGTATGACCGTCACCACCTGTCATACTATTTTGGATTTGGTGTACTGCTTTCTAATTTATGTTCCTGTAATTTATACTGTGCATAATGCTGTCACTGACCCTCTCACACATTTCTATTTCTGCAGAGCCCCCCATACTTGCTATTTACTGCTACATGATGGAGTACCAAGTAGACTAATTTATTTTTTCACTGAGGAAATTTTAAGAAACTTCTGATTTCCTATGTCCATATACTCGACCACTTAATTTGACTTTCCTTTTGCCTGTGGGTTGCATCTAGCTTTTCTAAAAGTGGCATTAAGAGCTAGAAGGGTCTGAAGACATTTCAAGCTCTTAAAACTTCCTCACAACAGTGACAAAAAGCACAAGGATTTACAAAGCCAGACCCAGAACTGAAGTGTGTTTCTCAATGCTAACAGCAGATGCGCTATTCCTTCCCACTGGTTCAGTGGGAAAGCTTGGACTTGTGTGCAACCCTGTCACGACAGGTGGAGGGAGAGAGTTTGGGAGTTCCTCAAAGGGTAAAATACAGAAACACTTGCGCACCAGAAAGCCAGCCCACTTGAAGGTCTAGGCCCAGGAGGAAGGAAGCCAAGGGCCCAAACCATAGCAGAATTTTTTCTGAGTGCCCCAGGGAGGAAATACTCAGGGCTGTCAGTGAACTAATGATGAACTGTGCTATGTACAGACAGGGAAATAAAAAGGAATCAAGCAAATCAAATACGTAGTCAAATGTGGATGAAACCTGAAAACATGCTAAGTAACTACCATAAAAAGACAATACTGTATTGGACTCAACAGCACAAACTAACATGTGACCCATCCACAGAGACAGAACAGGCTGATGGCAGCCAGGGGTGGGGAGGGGAGGGTGGAGAGCTGCTCCTTGGGGGCGCACAGGCTGTTAATTTTGGTGATGAAACATTTGCAGCTAGAGAAAGGAGGTAACTACATTACACCAAGTGCTACTGAACGCACAGCTCACTTTAAAGTCGTTAATTTTATATGAATTCCACCTCAACTTAAAAATAGATTAATGAAGCCCACAAAACCAATTCCAGTCCCAGTCACCCTTGGTTCAGTGACCCATGCCATATCCGGGGTCCACAGACTGGTATTCCGGCCTTCTGTGTGACCTTGGGCAGCGTAATCAGGTTCTCTGAACCCCTTTTTTTTTTCCCCCCCCTACAACGTTTAGGAAGCAGTGCCGCCTTGTTGGATGCACGGTCATAGTTACACAGCCATGTCTGGAGCAGCAGAGCACACACGTTTCTGTAAACTGCTCGTGTGCAGACTCTCCTTCACAAGCCCACACACTGGTTTCCTCCAGCATTTCTTTCAGTTATGTGATTACGTGACACCCTCTTGTAGGGAGTCAAACTCCAGAAAAAGTCTTCCTCTCTGCTTTCTCCTGTTGCTGGACCACTGTGCCCATCACAGGGCACATCTGTCTTCTCCCTTCATGTTTGTTTATTTTATTTATTTATTTATTTATTTTTGGTTTTTCGAGACAGGGTTTCTCTGTATAGCTTTGCGCCTTTCCTGGAACTCACTCTGTAGCCCAGGCTGGCCTCGAACTCACAGCGATCCGCCTGGCTCTGCCTCCCGAGTGCTGGGATTAAATGTGCGCACCACCACCGCCCTGCTGCCTTCATGTTTATAACAATGACAAATCCCCTAAGCTTCCACACCGCACACAGAGAGAAACCCCAGGCTCTGCCATCAGGAGATGCTTTGGTCGGAGGGCAGCAACCTTTCATCCACCTCTAGAAGTGGGATATTGATCATGAAACTCAGGAAATCATGGCTTCAGGGGCAGATGCCTTCCTGGAAGGCATCCCCTTCCGTGGGCCTCAGCTACTCACCACGTGTGCCTGAGACCAACCAGCCTTCTCCGCGTCCTTGCCCAGTGCGGCCAGGATGATGCCACTGCTGTTCTTGGTGGCGAATGTGGCAAGCAGGGACGATGCTGGTGACAGAGACTTGGGTGGCACCTCCACGTAGCCACCTCTCAGGAAACTCACACTCTGGATGGGCTGGTGACGGAGGGGAGAGCAGTGAGGTTGGCCTGCTGTTGCGGGACTGGCGGCCTCTCTTGCCTCCCACCCACCCGCTGGTTGAAAGCTTGCAGCTTTAGTATATAGCTAAACCACTGGGCGTTGAGGGAAAGCCATTATTCAGACCCCCACGACAACAACACTTGCTTCCCACCTCCAGCGCACAGCCTTTTCTCACTCCATAGGAATTTCTCAGCAGATCAAAGGTGGACCTGGATATCTCCAGGTTCTTGATACAGCCCACGTAGTTTCTGCTGCTGACCCCTTTCCTGGAGGCAAGGACATAAGAACCGGTCATGTGCTTGGTACGAGAGGCCTGACAATCCCACATGACAGCTCCATAGTGAAGGGGATCCCCAGTTTCACACCGCACCTCACAGCTACAGAGTGAGGTAAGCCCCCCACGTAAATCAGGTCTTTTTCCAGTCGATTGAGGTCAGAAGAGGCTCCTGGGGTTTCTCCCTGCTTGGTCTCCTTGTCAGTGGTGTCATAGGCATCAAAGACAGCCAGCAGTCCTAATAGGAAGCAGAAAGGAACAGTTAATGTGAATGGAAACTTCCCTTAACACAGTCCTTAATGAAGACATGTTTGTGGCGGATATCTGATCACACTGTGAAACTCCGAGACTGTGTTAATAAAATTAACCTTGGATCAGGAGGCAAAGCCAGTGACTAGTTGACAAGAATTAGCCATAGAGAGTTCGGAGGACCCAGGGACACGGCTAGACAGGCACCAGAAAGAGTAGGGAGGGACTTGACTTAGAGAGTCATGGTTTTTTGGTCTGGGACGTGTGGAGAGAGACATGCTTGCCAGGTCTCCAGTCAAAAAGGGAAGCTCATCTGGTTGCTCCTCTTCTGCATCTCTGATCTAGCAGGTTTTCACCCCAACAACACATGTTCTTTTAAGTTCTGCTAATTTGACGGGCATTATTCTTTACCATTAAAAGACAAAGGCCGGCAGATAATACACACAGCTGGATGGTAACAGTAGGTGTGTGGAAGAAAACGGGATTTGATTTCCTGTTTCCAGTTTGGCACTGAACAAGAAATAGTGAAATAACAAACATACAGAATAATACTGTTCTTCCAGTGAGAAGCAAACCCCATTGCTTCTTGTTCCATAGACAGAGGTAGCTTTCAGTCAGAATATCACCCAAGAATGTGCTCTTCTTTTCCAGCCAAGTGGTGAATGGTAAGGGTGATGTGCTCTGATATCATTAAGATGGAGTCGGGAAGCTAACGGAGCACAATGACCGCTGATTTTGGAGTGCTGTTTGTTCTTAGAGGGGCAGCCAACATCATAGACGTCTACCCTGTGCACCTACCTTGCTTCCGGTTTCTCTGGAAGGCGATTTTGTACCAGGTTCCGTTGTTATACCGTCTGTCTGTCATAAGAGTGAGGGGTCCGGACCCCAAATCCACCATCACCTTAACCCTGCCACGGACCAGCTCGATGGACAGAAAGTCCTTCTGTGAAGGAAAGAACAGTTCTCTGCAGATACATCTTTACCTCTAGGCTTTTCCCATCCAAGTCAGGGGTGGAAGTCATCTTTTAAAGTCAAATTGGGGAAATTGAGCCTAGCCCCATAGCTGGTCCATTACATGAAAGTAAAAACGCCCCCAATGGCTTTGTAGAACATTACTGAGAATTAAGTGAACTGCTCTCCATTGTTAACCAGATCCATATTTTAGTAGGAGAACTGGACTCTGTGTGCTTCTTATTTAAATTGACAAGCGGGCTGCTTCTGAAAATGACCAGCATACAAGATGAAAAAGGGGACCATTCCTGTAGATGCGATTCAAATGAGGATACTGTGGTGGATGGACAGATGGCTGAGTGGTTAAGGACACTGGCTCCTCTTGCCAAGGACCTGTGTTCGATTCCCAGCATCCACCCGCTAGCTCACAACCATCTACAACTCCAGTCCCAGGGGATCCAGTGCCTTCATTCGGCCTCATACATATATGGTGCATAGGCAGAGAAACTATTCATACACATACAAAAAAGTAAGAATAATTAAAAAAAAAAACAAGGCCATGATGGTCACACAAGGAACAAGACACAGTTTGAACGAGGACTTAATAACAAATGTCTGACTAATACCTGTGCTGAGTGGAGGCACGCTTCCCCTCAGCGCTCTCACGTGTTCCTCGTAGTTCTTCGTGAATTTGTGTTAACTGGTAAGTGATTTTAAGTGGGAACCTGTGCAGCATATATGTGTAGATTACAGTAGTGTGTGCTTGTGGACACTGCCTAAGGTAAATTTACATAAGACCCATTTCCAAATCTTCAGGAGACACCACTGCGGAACTCTGTCCTCAAGCCATAGTACGGCTGCCACCATGCTCCTCACAGTGGGTGTGACTCCCCAAATGAGACCTTGACAAGCTCGGGTTGTTGATGTCCCCTCAGAGAACGTGTGTCCCCTCACCTGAGACTGCAGCCAACCACCCCTCCATCCTGTGCTGTCCTCTTCCCTGCATGGAATCCCCCAGCTCCCCGGGGATGTAGGAGGTGGTGGGATACTTAAGAAAAGCAGAACTGATCACAAGGGTTCTCGTGTACCCAGTGTTTGGGAGCTCATCCCGCACGCTGGGGTGAGACATCTCAGTCCTGCAGCTGTCTTGGGGACTCTCCTGTTCCTAACTCCTCACTCATATTCCTCTTAGTGAACCTCATAAACTCGTCATTCTCCTATTGAGGTGCAAGCATTGCTCTGGTCTGGAGAGAATGGACATTTGTCCACATCTCACCAGGTAAAGTCACACAGGAAACAGGTGAGCTGAAGGCAATGGGACTGGACAGAGAGGCCCAAGCGCTTCACTTACAGTGCCATTTGAAGCCAGGTAGAAAAGCAGCCCGTTGGGGGAGAAGGTACTGAAGAGGATGACTATCTGAGTCACGGTGGTCCGGAGTGTCTTCTCCACAACCGCGTACCCACTTCCATCAAAATGGAAGGAAGAGTCTTCATTCTGGGAACTGCAGAGGAGAAGCCATGAAATAGCATTCACTCTTGGGAAGGTGGGGAGACAAAGGAATTCCTTCCTCCTAAGCCAGGGTGGAATTTTATCTCCATCACTCATTGGAGGCGTTAAATGTAAGACAAGTTGCGCCCCTAATTTGAACTTCTGAAAACTGAAGTCCTCTACAATCTGAACAATCTGAGCACTGATAGACACGATGACATGAAGGAAAAAGTGTGCGCCAGAGAGAGAGACAGAGAGACAGAGAGAGAGAGAGAGAGAGAGAGAGACAGAGACAGACAGACAGAGAGAGGGTTTAAAATATACAGAACCACCTCGGGCTATGCGCATGTTGTGTACATAGCATAAACTCTGTGTCTGGATTCAGATCCTACCTCTAGGATACTTCATTATGCATATGCAATTATCCCAAAGTCCTAAAACACAAATCTAAACTGCCAAACACTCTCAGTCCCAAGGATGTCAGATAAGAGACACCCGACTTATGATTGACAAGGCACTTACCATGCAGGCAAACCCATGCAGACCAGAGCCCAGCTGCTTTATAAGGTAAAGAGAGTTAATGCAAGTGACCATCGTGGCAGGAAAGTGAAATCTGTTTACTAGACTATAACAACTACACATATTTCTACGTATCCAACGCACGTGTTGGTTTCCTCTAATTTCCTTTGGAGTAGCCATCCTTTCTCACTTCCGGTGCCTTCAGGATATTTTTTACGTTAGCATTTACCACTCTATTGTTTTTCATTTTCTTTAGAGGCTCTCTGTGGAGCCCTGGCTGTCCTGGAACTCACTATGTAGACCAGGCTGGCCTTGAACCCACAGAGACCTGTCCCTGCCCCCCAAGTGCTGGGATGAAATGTTTGCCACCATACCTGGCTTCTCCTAGTTTTAACTAATATATCAAACAGTAAATAGGTATCAAAAGGACCATATTATGAGCAATGTCATTGACACCTTCAAGAATGCTTAGTATGAGTTTAAAGCTTGCATATTTTGAGGTAGGTATACAGCTTTTAATGAATTATACATGCACAGAAATAATTTTTAAGACCAGTGTATTCCTGGGTTTTTTCCCCCCTTATATATCAAAGGCTGACTGGACTCACAATTCAATTACCCAAAACCTTAACTGTAATTAATCACAATGACGCTCCAAAAGCTAGAATACCACAGGGCTTGAGGGAAAGCTGAGATGAGTGTAGTTTGGGATATGAATTTTAAATTTCCTCTGTGCAAGACTAATAGCTAAATTTAGCTTTACACATCCAAGCAGGGTGGTAACCCAACAGTCAAGCAATCAGGCTAATGAGGAAAGGGGAGGGGAGAGGAGGGGAGAAGAGAGGAGAGGAGGGAAGGGAACCATAGCATATATGTGGATGTCAGAGAACAACCTTGCATGTGGATTCTCAACTTCCATCCCACTTGAGGCAGGATCTCTATCTTCTCTCTCTCTCTCTCTCTCTCTCTCTCTCTCTCTCTCTCTCTCTCTCTCTCCCCCCTACATACTCCACATTAGCTGGCCTGGGAGCTTCCAGGAATTCTGTCTCTGCCTCCTATATCCCAGCAGGAGTTACAGAATTACACAAGTGCGACATTATGTATAGCACCAGGTGGGTTCTGGGGATTTGAACTCAGGTCCTCATGCTTGTATGACCAGCACTTGACTCAGCTGTTTTCTTCGACCCTGATCTCTGCTTCCTGCCGACTGGTCTGATTGAGGACACAGTCTCTAGAGCCAGGCAACTGGGGTTCAAACCCCAATTTCCCAAGTTACTAGTTGTGTGAACATGAAAACATTCCCTAATCTCTCCTCTGCTGCTTTCGTCTCTAAAGGAAGCCAGCAGAGTGTTCTGGAAAGATGCACACAACTTGACATGTGCAAAGTTCTTAGGAGTGGTGCCCAGAATACAGCAAACGTGCTCCGTGATGGTGGGGGTGTCTCCAGTTAGCTCATTCAAGCCTAAGAGACACAGGTAATGTCATCTAAAGATACAGTCCAAGAAAACGGTAAAACCAGGGTTCAAACAAACTTCACAAAGCTGTCCTGTCCTTGTGCGTGACCCGTTCCTACCCAGAGCCCAGCAGTCCTCTCATCCCAAGCACCTGAGTGGTCTTTGTTTCTGGTTTCTCTCCCTCTTCACAGCCTGCTCAGTCAGGGCAGCCACAAGAAGGGATGTATTCCAAAGGAATAAAGACTGAAAGAGTCTCCTGGCCCCTGGGGGCTATGGAAGGTTTTGGGGCTAGTTCCCAGAAACTTCTGCTGGAGCCTCTGTGGGCTTTTATGTTTTAGACCCATGAGACCCATGTGCTCCACAGTCAGCCTAGGTTTACTACCCTGGGCTGCAAGAAGACTGTCTGGGCTCCTGACTAGGAACAACGCCCAAGACTGACGCAGGCTGGCACACCACATGCTTCATCAGTGGCTCTAGTACTTGAAAGGGTGCTGGCACCCGCAGGCACAGTCAGGGGCCTGGGTGACGGGGCCCTGCTCACAGAGGGACCTGGGTAATAGTACCTCCCCCCAGTTAGTAGTGAGGCCTACAGGAATCCCAGATGTCCTGGCCCTCTGTCCACGGGCATGTAACAGCTACTCTCAATACACCAACTCTACTTGCTAATTAAGACATTTTCCACATTTCTTTAGTGAGAACTGCTTGACTCAGAGGCTCACAATACCCTTCAAGAATGGAAGGGATAGGTGGTCATCAGAAAGATGCTGGTACTATGTGAGAGTATCCAGCAACATATGAAAAGATGGATTAAAGAATGAACTGGTTGAGTTGGCACTATAAATGCAAATACTCATTGACCCAAAGGACACTAATGACCTAACAGTGGCAAGTTACACAAGGCAGGAGCACAGTGCATGACCTCCCAAGGGGCCGTAGAGTATAGAGCTAACGGAACACTTGGATGTGGGGATGGATTACCTTCCAAAGCAGCCATTGCATTTCCCTTCTCTCTCGACATAATTCCACAGGCCGATTGATTTGCCGTTCAAGAAGGCCTCTCCCATGCAGCCCTTAAAATGAGTAACCTTCACAGCGGGAGATTTCTGATGTAAAGACAAGAGCAAAGACATGATGCATAACCAGTTGGAAGCATACATTCCCTCAAACCACCCAGGGGGCTCCAATGCCCACAGTTAAATTCCAAGAGGACACGTGATGAAATGGCCCATTTGCAACAGCTGGATTTACAGCCAAGCAGGAACAGTTTGCATTGTTTGGTTTTCTGAGGGGAAGGGGGAGCTGAGAAAGAGCCTTGTGATATATATAGCCCAGGCTGGCCTCTCACACTCTCAGTTCCCTTGCTTCAGCCTCGAGAATGCTGGGATTACAGGTGTGCGCAAATGACCAGACCCAGCTCTGGACGGTTTCCTAAAGATCAACTCAGTTGCTAGGGTTTCTGGGGCAAGCCTGTTAGAGGTGAGCATCAGACCAGACAGGGGGTCAGTAGACTAGTCTAACTGGGATGCAAACCTTTCTTTCAACCTCGGAACATTGAAACCAGTCCAACTAACCAATGTCATTAAACAAATACAATGCACCCTTGCCAAACACCAATTAGCATAATTACCACTAAAATCAAAAGAGAGATAAAGGGACTTCACAGAAATTACTACAAATTCATTGAATTTCCTATTTCAGCACTGGAAAGGATCTCTAAGTGGCAAACGGCACCATTGATTTCTCTTGTATTCATCTTCACAATTAAAAATGACCTTTTACCCTGGTAAACCCAGCACAGCTCTGCGGACTCTGCCAAAATGGGAACGAAGAAAATCAGACGCTTTTGGCTTGAGGACTACAAGCAAGCCCACGAGCCAGTGGGTCCTGCTCAGACACTCAGAGAATATTACCTTGATTTGACCTCCAAGCCCTCCAACAAACATTAGTGTTGAATTGTTTATGTCCAGAACATTTGCCAACCCCGGAGACTTGCTTGTTTTGACTGGTGGATTCTCAGCCGAACTTATTTCTTTGACACTCAGTGACCCCATGTTTCCAAACCTTTGGTCAGAAAGAGTTGGGAGGGGAAGTTGAGACATTTCACGTGCTCACATCTGTCAGCATGCCTTTCATGCTCCCTACTCGCTCTCCTTACACCCACCTTTGCCCACTCAAACTCTGTTTTACTCCCCCAAACATGTTAAGGAGTTCCTGGAAAAGAGACGTCTCATCCCATCCCTTCCCTATTTGAAATCATTACTGAGTTAATCCACGTCTGAATAAAAATCACTCCTTTCACTACGACACGGGTTTGTAACAGAATGCCAATATTCCCAACAACTCCATCAACAAAAACCCCTACAATATTACAGAAAGGAAAAAGGAAAGTCCTAGGGAAGACTGCTTACAGGAAGTTGTTTCTGGGGTGGGGGCTTTAAAAAGGAAGAATTTGGCTTTGTATCTGAATTTTAAGAGAGCACATCTCCCATTTCATCCCCCCCCCTCTTCTGTGGCTTTTCACTAAATCCTCTTCGGTGGAAGGAGCCATTTTACAAGGTGGGTGTCCCTGGACTTGGACTTCCTAAAAATATTTTTAAAAATCCGGGGGCTTGGAGAGACGGCTCTGTGGTTAAGATCATTGGCTACTCTTGCAGAGGACCTGGGTTCCATTCCTAGCACCCCCACGGTGGCTCACCACCGTCTCTAAGTACAGGTCCTGTGGATCCAATGCTCTCAGCTGGCTTTTGAAGGTACTGCACACTTATGGTGCACATACTATAGTTACAATTAATCTATCACTGGCTGTTTATAATCCAACTTGGACTCAGAGCCTGTTTATCATATATGTTACAAACGTGTTAGAAGGCGCAACTGAAAGAAGAAAGATGCTGGAGCACGCTCTCCCTACCTGGTTATGTAGATGCTGTGCCATCTGTTGTCATTGATGGAGACATCTGGGAATTCCAGCCTTGTGGACCCGGAGCCCAGGTCCCAGAGGAAGGCCACTTTCCCCCGCCGCATCTCCACTGCGAGAAAATCAGACTGGGGGAGGGGAGGGGAGTGGGGATGAGTTACATACTGCTATTTACTCAGCCAGCACAACACTTCAGTGCTTTTCTGTCTGTAAATAATCACATCCCCGGGACTGGAGCATGGAGATTCCCGAGGCAGAGAACAGACCTGACATCAGTGCTTCTGCAGACTGACCATCCACCATGCCTCTCAGGAAGCTCCCCAGAACACTCAGTGGGGTTGCCACCAAGCCACAGGAGGGTTGGGCAAGGTGGCACTCGCTTCCTTCTGTTTCAGAAGGCACCAATGGGTGCGGCAGGCATACTAAGGCAAGAGCCACAAAAGCAAGCGAGCTTCTATTCTTGTCTCCTCAGAAGACATCTGTGATAATAAACATGCTTCTTACTATCTCCTTCCTGACATTCCCAAGTCTCAAGGGTTTGGATCTCTCCTGAATACAGCCAAAGCAGCAGTGGTCTTCTCTAGGAAACTTGTCATCTAGGGACTATAGCCAACTCCTCGGCAGGAAGGACCTGGGTGATGCCTGGCAATCTGAGAATAACCTCAAGTCCACAGAGGCATGATGTACCCAAGGTATACCAATAAGGTGGCATGATAAGGTATGTCACTTTCGTTTTTGTGGCATGTGTGCCCGTGTTCATGTGTGTATAAGTTCACATGTATGCATATTAGCATGGCATGTTCACAAGGACAGAAGACAACCTCATGTACATTCATAGGTGCTTTGAAACAGGGCCCCTCAATGACATGATACTCAATCACCTGGTACTTAGCTAAGTAGATTAGGCCAGCTGGCCAGGCAGCCCTAGGGATCTGCCTACCTCCACCTGTCCAGCTCTGGAAACACAGATGCATACGGCGACACCCAGGTTTTGTTTGAGTGGGTCCTGGGAACTGAGCTCAGATTCTCAGGCGAACAGTTTACCCACTGACCTATCTGCCCAAACACGTTTGCATTTATTTGAAACCCAATGTTACAATTGTAGCAAAGGTTACCCCTGGTAGGAGAATTCAGTGACTTCAGGACCGTCACGTTGATGTTTTCATCAGGAGAGGGTCCACCAAGGAGACACCTGTATTCCCAAACTCCCAGGGTCGCTCACTTACACTGGTGCTGCTGCCCAGGTAGAAGAGAAGGTTGTCCGGCTCTTGTGTCTTAACGTTCAGAGTAAGAGTGTTATAGTTGCTGGAAGAAATCTGAGGCTGGTAGGCACGGATGCAGTCTCTGTCTGCAGACACGGCAACTTTGATCTGACGGGAAAAAGAAAGCAACCCATGACCTAGTGGCACACAGGAGCAATTTCCCAGGTGTCGGAGATGCCCTGTCTCTGGTTCCTCTGCGCATAATTCATAAAACACTTTTGGTTTCCCAGAGTGAGACAACGTCAACTGTTTAGATACAGGATAGTCATTTAAATGAGGATTTGTTTGATTTGCTTATTTAGAGACAGTGTCTCATCTATGTAGACCAGGCTGCCTCCAATTGAAACACATGATCCTCCCTGCCTCAGCCTGGGGTTATAGGTGTGTGCCACCATGAAGAACTCAGCTTTTCTAACTCCAGTCTTCCACAGAACA